CGGAGCGGGGACGCGGGGAGCCCGCGGGCCGCGGACGCCTGTTGGCGCGTCCCGCCCCGGGCATCGGCAGGGCCCTTGCAGCAGCCCCCGGGAGGTGGCGGGAGGGAGGGTAAGCCGGGGTGCGGCGGCGAGGGCTGGGTGCGGGGTCTTCCCCAGACTCTCCGGAACCCCGCTGGGCTTCCGAGGCGCCCCGAAAGACTTTCCTCAGAGGAGGCTGCCGGCCGCTGCTTCTCCTGCCCACTTCGCTCCCGTCCCCGCGCGGGGCACCCTCGTGCCGTGCACCCTCCGTGGCGCCCCCCCGGGGACTGGGTTGCAAGTCTGGGGCGAATCATCTTTTCACAAAACCAGAATTCCTTGCTGCCTTGGTTTTGTGCCTTCGATCCCCTCTGTGCGCCCCCAGCTCGGCTGCAGCGCCGACCCTCGGAGCGGGCAGAGCCCTTCAGGGCCCCGCGGGCCGCAGCACCCCGCGCGCTGCTCCTGGCGCACGGAGTGGGTCCACCGTGCAGGGACCATTCTGATCCCCCACCGGCAGGCAGTTCAGACACCCGACCCCGCAGCCCAGCCCAACCGGAGCCAAAACAGGTGAGTTTTAAGGGCAAGCTACGTTCGATGCAAAGCAAATACTGGGAGAAATAATAAGGGTGGAGTGGGTACGGTCATCTGACCACTGAATAACCCGGCTGGTTCCTGGGAAGGGTTTTACTTCGCCCTCCACTTTCCATAATTTTGTAGGATTGTCCCTCGCCCGCTAGAGGTCACCATAAAGAATTATTTGCTCTGGTTCTAGCGTGGATTCCCTAGTGAAAAGGCAGACGCCTAAAAATTAGAGGGCTGTCTCTGACAAGCAAGCATCACTCTGGGTGGTTCTGAAAGAATGAAAATCTCTGTTGAGTTGTTCATCCATAGACCTGAATAATTTATCTCGAAAGCACTTAATGTGATTAAAAACTGAAAAACAAGACTTGTTTATCTGTGAAATAGCTAAGCGAGAAAAATATCGAGGAGGAAGTGAATTTCAAAACCAAATGGAAGGAGGTGATGGCCACGAGTTGGCAGAGGGAAAGAGCGAGGGAGTCCAAACAGCGTCTCAGCTGGGGAGGATTAAAGTTGTAAGAAGGCGAATGCGTTTGCCTGGCTGAATGGGGTGCTCAACTGCAGTATGTGGATTTAATCCTGTAAGCAAGGGGCCCTCTGAAGCCTTCCTAACAAATGACTTGAAGAAAGCTTTATTTCAGGGAGATGCCTTTGCCCTGTGGGTTATTATTTCTCTTTTCTTTTTTGTGCGTTTTGAGACTGGGTTTCGCTATGCAGTTCAGGCTGGCCTTGAACTCGAAGCAGTCCTCCTGCCTCAGCCTCCCAAGGGCTGGGATACAGGCATGTGCCAGCCGCCACGATCTACCGACCTGTGGGTTTTTCTAAAGAACAGGCCGCTCCAGCAACCCGGGAATGGAAACCCCACCCCTTGTCAATAGAATAAGGAAGTTCCCTTATGAGAAACACAGACCAAGACAGTAGCGGGTCTTGGTAGCGGATTTGGTACAGGGCACAGAGATGAGCCTAATTCACGCTAGCCACAACCAGTTCATCAGGAAGCTGTTAAAAATACCTTCTAGAAACTTCAAAACAACAGAAGTGAGCAGAACTGTTGTGTCAGTTATTTGCTAGAGCATTACTATATTTATTTCCTATGTGCTCTATCCAAAATCCCTTTACAGTCTGTTGATTGAAGCGGTTGAAGAAACATCTCATTTTAAATTACATCTGAGCTTAGAAAACAAATTAATTTGATGACAATACAATTTGTGACTCCTAAGTATATTTTCATAAAATTTTTAGATAAAGGTTTAAATCATTTCATTTGTTTAAAAAGTAATGTCTTATTTGATGTTAGTATCATCAGCCACTGCTGCCGCAGCAGTACCCAGCTCATTTTCTTGAGCAAAGAATGCAGCAATGTAGAAATGATTGGCTTCTCTCAATGTAATTGCGTTTAGAAAGCATTCTAAAAAACAGTTCTATACCTTTGCATTTTGAGAAGATTGTGCTAAGAATTATGGCATCTCCATTCTCTTTTAGATTTAGGAGGACAGGGTCTTCATATGTAAATCTTTAGAATATTAAAATGTAAAGGCACCAGGCAGAATTCTAAGAGCTTGAAAGAACCTAGAGGTTCCCTAGCCTCAATTTATCAACACAAAGCTGGGTGTGGTGGTGTATGCCCCTACTCACAGCACTCTGGGAGGCTGAGTCAGAAGGAGCACAAGTTTGAGCCCATCCTGGGCAATTTAGCCAAGTAGCAAGACCCTGCCTGTCTCAAAATTTAAAAAAATTTTAAGGGGGTCCTGGGGCTGTTGCTCAGTGTGAGAGTTCTGGGTTCGATCCCCAATACTAAAAATATATATCCATTTTAGAAAGAATAAAGAACAGCTGGAAGTTGATTCAGATTCCCCAGCAGCACGGCAGGGACAAGGCTAGAACCAGGTCTTCCAGTTTGCGCACTCTAGTCACGCTGTCTCCAGCACCTCGACTGACGCACACCCTTTACGCCCGTCTCTTTGCATTCCAGCTCTCTCATTCCTCTGCATCCTGTAAATCCACAAGATGGCCCTTCCTCTTCACCAAGGCAGTCCCCAGTTCCGAGTCCAGAGGGACTACAGAGATATGCAGAATTGCAGACTGTCCATACACTGAAGTCCTCATCGGCCCTTAGGTCCCTCCCAAGATTCAGCCTGGCCGCACAGCTCACCTGCTAAGTGACAGGATCAGGCTCCCTAACCTCTTTGAGCCTCAGTCTTCTCGTCCACAAAATGAAGGTAATGATACATAGGGGAAAAGAGTGATACAGGCCAGGCGTAGTGGTGCATGCCTGTAATCCTAGCACTCAGGAAGCAGAGGCAGGACGGTTGCTGGGAGTTCAAGACCAGCCTGGGCTACATAGTGAACTCAAGGCCAGCCTGAACTATACAGTGAGACCCTGTCTCAAAAAAGAAAAAGTAATAAGAATTACACGTGAGGCTAGGGATATAGCTCAGTGGCTTAAGCACCTGCCTGGCAAGTACGAGGTTGTGAGTTTGATTCCCAGTACCGGAAAAAAAAAAAATAAAAAAAATAAAAATGGAACCAACCACAGAGAGGTAACATGAAGCATCCAAAATTCATTGAAAAATTGGGACCCTTACCTGACTAACCCTAGGTTGAAGACAGATTTCTCCATCACTTTGCAGTGCGTGACGATATGTCCAGGAACTCTGAACACCTTGTTTGCCTCAAAGCTTTGGAAATCAAGATACTGGGTGGGCACTATTCTTCCATGCAGCTTACTTAGCAACACTACTTTAAAAAGCCCTTACTAAGGGGCTGGGGATTTAGCTCAGCGGCAAAAGCACTTGCCTGGCAAGCGCAAGGTCGTGAGTTCGGTTCCTGGTACCGGAGAAAAAAACAAAAAAAAAACAAAAAAACCAAACAAAAAAAATAAAAAGCCCTTACTCTGCGGTTAATTTGTATTTGCACCTATTTGTGTTTGCGTCAGTTTCGGAGCCTCTACAGAATTAGTAGATGCTGTTATTAGAAGGCAGCTTTTTGTGTAGCCTGGCACAGTGGTGCACATTTATAATCCCAGCTACGCAGCTGAGGCAGGAGGATCTCAGGTTCAAGGCCAGCCTGGGCAACTTAGTGAGACCCTGTTTCAAAACTGGAAAGGATTGGAGATGTAGCTCAGCACTGCCTAGGTTCAATCTCAAGTACCACAGAAGAAAGAATTCTAATTTTAGTCAGGCATGATGTCGCATACCTATAGTCTGTGAGTTCAAGGCCAGCTGAAACTCCATAGCAAGACCTTGTCTCAAAAACACAAAAAAATGTTTTTCAATGAGGGCTGGGGAAGTAGCTTAGTACAAAGGGCCTGGGTTCAATCCCCAGTGCCATAATTAAATAAAAAAATGTATATTCGTGATCCTAAAGCTGCTGCTCATACAGGCTTCTATAGAGCCATTTCTTTTTCTTCTTTTATTCTGTGACACAGAAACAGAAGTATGTTGGTAAAAAAAAAAATGAATAAATAAGTATGACTTGTAAAAAAAAAGAATTATATTGGTCACAAACTCAGAAGTACATTCCTCTTTCTTTTTTAGATAGGGTCTTGTTGTGTAGTTCAGGCTAGACTTGAACTCACTATGTAACCCAGGCTATCCTCCTGCCTCAGCCTCCCAAGCTACATTATTCCTTCTTTATATTAAAAAGAAAAAGGATGAATGATGAGATTTATGAAAGAATTCATAAAATACATTTAGGGACAGTTGTTTCTTGGTCAAGTGAATGGGAAATTTAAGATATATATGAAACTTAGCTGTTCTTGATTACTATAAGCCTTTGCCTTTTTTAAAAAACATGTACAAGGGTTTTGTTGTGTTTTGTTTTGTTTTGAGACATGGTCTCACTATATAGTTAAGGCTGGCCTTGAGCTCATGATAGCCCAGGCCTCCAGAGGGCCGAGATTACAGGTGTATGCCACCACACCCAGCAGGGTTATGCTTCTAAAATTTTTTTTTTTTTTTTTTTTTAGGTTTTAAAAACTCGGCACAGACAGGCGTGGTGGCACACACCTGTGATCTTAGCACCCAGGAGGCTGAGGCAGGAGGATCCTTGCAAGTTCAAGACCAGCTTTGGCTACAAAGTGAGCTCAAGGCCAGCCTGAACTGCAGAGTGAGACCCTGTCTCAAAAAAGACAAAAAAACAAACAAAACAAAACACTCCCAGCACTTATTCTCCTCCCAGACTACATTTTTCTTTAGGCTATTTTCTTTCCTTCTTTGGTCTTTTTCACCTTCGAGGCTGCACTGCTCTCTCTCTCTCTCTCTCTCTCTCTCTCTCTCTCTCTCTCTCTCTCTCTCTCTCTCTCTCTCTCTCTTACACACACACACACACACACACACACACACAAGCCTTCTTGGGCTTCTTGCTGTGTCCCCCACCGCTCCGTTGCACTAGGGCCTTGACACCTGCTGCTCCCTGCCTGGAACACTGTGTCCCAGAGCAGATGTGGCTGGCTCCTTATCAGTCAGGTCTCAGTTCAAATGTCATTTCCTCAGACAGGCTGTCCCTGACCACCCACTGCAGCATATCAACCTATTTCTTTTTTTTTTTTCATGCCTTTAACCCAGTTAAATAAATCTAACTTGGGGACAGAGGAAGAGAAGATAAGATGATAAAAATGATCAAAGTGTGTTATGTGCATGTACAAATCTGCTAAAATAAAACCCACTAATCTGTGGGTAGCCAATTTTTTGGGGGGTAGCCAATTTTTAAGGGTGGAAAAATACAAACAAGTGTACAGATGAAAATGTAAAAAAAAAAAGGCCAGGCATGGTGGTGCACACCTGTAATCCCAACACTCAGGAGGCTGAGGCAGGAGGATCGTTATAAGTTCAAGACCAGCCTGGGCTACAAAGTGAGCTCAAACTGCATAGCGACACCCTGTCTCAAAAAGACCAAAAAAAAGAAAAAAATCTAGCATGGAGCTGGCTGTATCACTCAACAGCAAAGCAGTTGTTTTATCATGTGCAAGGCTAGGTTCAATCCCCAGC